TTTCTTTCTTTCTTTCTTTTTCTTTCTTTCTTTTTCTTTCTTTTTTTATTCAGATTTCTTTTTTTAAAAAATTAACATATAAGGTATTATTTGTATCAGGGGTACAGGTTTGTGATTCATCAGTCTTACACAACTCACAGCGCTCACCATAGCACATACCCTCCCCAATGTCCATAACCCAGCCGCCCCATCCCTCCCCCCCCCCACCACTCCAGCAACCCTCAGTTTGTTTCCTGAGATTAAGAGTCTCTTATGGTTTGTTTTCCTCTCTGGTTTTGTCTTGTTTCATTTTCTCCTCCCTTCCCCTATGATCCTCTGTCTTGTTTTTCAAAGTCCTCATATTGGTGAGATCATATGATAATTGTCTTTCTCTGATTAACTTAGCATAAGTTGCTTAGCATAATACCCTCTAGTTCCATCCACATTGTTGCAAATGGCAAGATTTCAAATTTTTTGATGGCTGAGTAGTATTCCATTGCATGTATATACCACATCTTCTTTATCCATTCATCTGTTGATGGACATCCAGGCTCTTTCCATAGTTTGGCCATTGTGGTGGACATTGCTGCTCTAAACACTGGGGTGCAGGTACCCCTTCAGATCACTACATTTGTATCTTTGGGGTAAATACCCAGTAGTGCAATTGCTGGGTTGCAGGGTAGCTCTGTTTTCAGCTTTTTGAGGAACCTCCATACTGTTTTCCAGAGTGGCTGCACCAGCTTGCATTCCCATCAACAGTGTAGGAGGGTTCTCTGGGAAGGCCGTTTCTTGATGGCAATCCACTTCTCCAGATCTGGGGGATTTTCTGAATCAAAATTATGGTATTCTTCCAGGCCTCATCTGCCCTTCTCAGCCAAGCTGCTTCCATTGCCATGAGCTCATCAGTGACTTGTCCAGCACATGGACTGGTGGTTAATGCCTAATTCTCCAGAGCACTAGGCCTGGGGAGGGAGGGAGGAAAGGTCCCTGAAAGTGGGGCACTTAGAACCCTTCATGTTTCCCCACACTTTCCCAGAGTCAGAGTGCTGAGGCCTTTCCTCCCTATAGAAGGGACCAGCGTGACCTCTGAAATGGAAGAGTTGGCTGTCTACTTAGAACCGATCTTGCTATCTCCCTCTCCTTCAGCTCCAGCATCCAATCCACCAACAAGTCCTCACAGTGCCACCTCTCAAATGTATTCATTCAAAATAGTTTAATTTTTTCTATATCCACTGATACTACCTCATATAACCAATATCACCTCCAACCTAGATGTCCACAGCACCCTACTGGCATCCACTTTTACCCACTACCAATTCCTTCCCCATAATACTTTAAACCGAATTTAAAATCTTCAGTGGCTCTTCACTACATTTACAAAAGAACTCCCAATTACCTGAGAGTGGGCTACAAGGTGCTGCATAATTTGGTTCCTGCCCAGCTTCCCAACTTCCCTTCTTGCCACTTTCTACCACGCTCACCATTTCCAGCTATACTGACCATCAAAAGTATTTCTTATTCCTGACTTTCTCTCTCCTCAGAGCTCATCCTTCCATGTGAACCTCTCTTTACTCAGCTCCTACATAACTGCCATAATGCATACTTCATTTCTCAGTTTAAATGCCGCCTCCATAGTGAGTCATGCCCATCCTCCCCACCCCCATTCCTTATCTTCCTCTCTGGTTCATTGCTTCATAGCACTTGTGAAAATTTGCTATTTTTAAAAAAGATTTTATTTACTTATTTTGAGAGAGAGAGAGAGAGTGTGTGTGCCAATGAGTGGGGGGAAGGTCAGAGGGAGAGAGAGAATCTCAAGTAGACTACACACTGAGTGCAGAGCCAGAGGTGGGAGTTGATCCCAGGACCCTGAGATCATGACCTGAGCAAAATCAAAAGTTGGATGTTTAATCGCCTGAACCACTCAGGAACCCCATGAAAATTTCCTATTATTTTAGTGGTTTGATTTCTTGTTCTTTGGCTGTCCCACCCGCTAGACTGTAAGCTCCATCATGACAGTTCACTCTGGGATGCATGTGCTTTTTGTGTTACGTAGCTTATGTTCTCCCCTCTTAGTGCTGTGTGTAATAAGATGTTTTGAGTTACTAGGCACTGTAAGAATTACGGAAATTATGGTGCCTCCCATAGACAACTAAAAGTAAAAAGTATGCTAAAATTAAAATGAAACTTGCATATATTCTGAAATCAAACCAGCTTATTTGTAGATTTTCTGATTGCAAAATCTTGGAAAAGGCCACTGAAGTGGAAGTTTTCTCATTTCTTTGGTGTCCCTGATTTGCTGGTAACCTAAGTCCATGTGTTGTCTGCCAGTGGGTAATATACAACTGCCCTGGACCTGAAGGGGAAAAACTACCTCACGTTTCAATATCAGAGCAAAAGGTTTGTATTATCATGTAAATCTTACTTAATAAATCTGTACTGGAACAGTGGTCGCTGTTAGCATTACACCTCTTTTTCTACTGTAGAAACAGTTAATCTTTTGGCCTCCCATCATTCCTTCTCATCCCACACAGCCTGTCAGCTCCTTAGCTATTGACAAACTCTAACTCTTCAAATAAATTAACCGAAAAAAACATGATGGAAAGAAGTTGTGTGCTTATGTGTGTGAGTGGTTGGGGGGAAGGAGGCAAATTCTTTCAACAAACACCTAAGTGCCCATAATATGCACAAATACTGTGCTAGGTACCAACATTAAATAAAATGTGAGTAACTTGCAAGTTCTTGCACATTTCAGCACCTGTGTACATTTCCTTTCTTATGAAACCAACTGCCCCTACCCTACCCTATTATCTCACCGGTAATATCTTCCTTGGCTCCTAAACTCGGTTATATCTTCCCTTTATATGCTATCAGAACTTCTGATGGTTCTCTCTTGTAGCCTTCAACATAATTTAATTACGTGTAATTATGTAATCTGTCATTCCTTTTAGATTATTAGCTCCATGGAGAGCGTGTTCATGTTGTCTTAGTCACAGCTATATCTGTAGCACCTAGGACAGCACACAGTAGCAGCTGGCAATAAATATTTGTTAGGTTGGCATAGCAATAAATGAATGAATGAACAGTATATTCCTGACCTCAAAGTGCTTACAGTCAAATAGGAAAGAAAGACAAAGAAAAAACTATTTGCCATTCAACATCATGAGGGCAGCAATAAAGATGTGACAGGGGACAATGGGAACATCATTTCTAATCCTAATCCTGGTATGGTTGTTGAAGACTCCCCAAAGGAGGTGATGGAGAAATCATTAAGATTGAAGAATTGGGGCAGGGAACAGGGTGAGCAAAGGCCAGTGTGTCCACCTACTATGCAGGCAGTCATTCATAAGATGGTTGGCTTTGGGTGTATGGAGTTCAGGGGAGGGTTCTAATATTTTTGCTTACTGGTAGTATTTTTTTTAAGATTATTTTCTTTTAAGTAATCTCTACACCCAGACTTACACCCCCGAGATCAAGAGTCACATGCTCGGGCGCCTGGATGGCTCAGTCGGTTAAGCGACTGCCTTCGGCTCAGGTCATGATCCTGGAGTCCGGGGATCGAGTCCCGCATCGGGCTCCCTGCTCGGCGGGGAGTTTGCTTCTCCCTCTGACCTTCTTCCTTCTCATGCTCTCTCTACCATTCTATCTCTCTCTCTCAATAAATAAATAATAATAAAAAAAAAGAGTCACATGCCCTACCGACTGAGCTAGCCAGGTGCCCCATTACTGGTAGTATTGATAAAGGATATGCAGTGAGGTCCAAATGATGTGTTTTTTTCTTAACGAACTCATAAAGATCCTGACAGCTTACATTTAATGTTCTCTGTAAATACATAATATGTCAATAACCTCTTACAGAGTAGACAAAGAATAAACATTCACTTCTGACTGGGACTTCTCCCTTTTTGTCCCCTTTTTAGGGAAATCAAGACATTGGCCTATCTCTGAGGTAAACATCTGTAGAAATCCTCATGGTCTGCTGAAAGCAGGTCTGCAGTCATAACAAGTTCTTAGAATAACCTTGAGTGATCTGAGTGTTTTGGAAACATCCAGAATAATATGCTATGCATAACCATAGTTATTTAAAATGATATTTATAATGGTGTGAGCTACATATTATCTATTGTTTATTATATGCCAGGTACTTGTTAGCTTTTTGCAACAATAACTTGGATCTTCAGAACAATCCAATGAAGTTGGTACTCCTAGCATGTCATATAATGAAGGAACTGAGGCATACAGAAATTAAACAGCTTGCCCAAGGTCATTCAGAAAACAAATGGTGAAGCATGAACTCATTCCAAAAAGTCTGTCTTCAGAGCCTACACTTTGCAGCTTCCTCCCATTATGCTGTGGTTTCTCCTGAAAATTTAATGCCGCTTTTGGAGCCAAGACCCACACCCTGTACTTTTTCAGACATCTCATAGAATCCAGAAGTCAAAATTGGAAAGGTCCCAGAAGAGGTAGACAGTCTGCTCACTGTTAGTACTACTGGAGAAGACATTCTTAGAACAAAATCAGTATTTCTGAACACCATGCATACTACCGGCGATATGCTAGATGACTTTGAATATGCATGAGCAAACGTTTCCATTTTCATAACTATGTATATTTAAAATATGTATCAGATAGACATTATGCTAATATGCATTATGCTAATAAGATAATTTGTGTAATTATCTTAGTTTTTAATCTTGAGAAATATCAAAAATATGTAACTGGACAAATAATATTCTAACAATAGCTTATATAGCCATGATTCAATGCAGAAGTTGTTGATATTTTATTTATTTACTGGTTTATTCATTCAACAAATATTTATGGAGCACCTAATATAGGTCAGGGACTGTTCAGAAACATAAGCAAACAAAAATCCCTGCCCTTTCATAGCTTACATTCTAGTGGAGAGAAACATAACAAAATATGTAGAAGCACAAATAAATAATATAGTATAATAGAAGATGACAAATACCATGGAAAAATAAAGCATGATTAAAGAGGAGATGGCAATGGAGAGCAGGAATGAAATTTTAAAATTATAAAAAAATATTACAAATAAAGTTAGTGTCTGTTTCAGCCCCCCAAAATGTATGATTTTGCTTTAAGTTCCTTTCTCTGAGGACACTCTTTTTACCATGCTTATTTTTATTTATATTCTACTGAAGGCAGAGACAAATTTCATTTTAAAATAACAAATAAAGTAGATTAGATAGTAAATAAGTATTTTTTAAAAAAACTATTGTAAAATAATAAATACAGTGCTTCATGGATATGGTAAAAGGTGGGAGAGCATTTGAATGACTAAATTGTTTGAACACCAAACACTGTTTTCTCCCCCAGTTGATTCTGCCTTTGTTGATGGGAGGAGAGAAAACTGGAATGGCTCACCCCAACCAAGTCAGCTCTTGGTGTGAAAGATGACATGCTCCCTCACAAGGCTGGTGGGGAGAGTTGTGTCACCCAGACATGCCTGAGCTTCTACAACCTGCAGCTTTCCTTTCTGCTTACTTACAGAACCATCTCTGTGGAGACAACAGAAGGTGAAATACAGAGGAGAACACACACAAGAAAGCAAGACAACCCATTCCTTTCTGTTGCATGACTACACTTACATGATGCTCGTGTGGAAGTATGTGCAGACTACATAGTGGCTCAGTCTCTGGGGGGAGGCAGGAGCCACCAGCTGCACAGAGTAGGATGCCGGCTTCCCTTGGTAGAGGACCAAGAGGTAAGGCCAAGGATGGTCATGAGGATGACTGCAGCCCTTTCCTTGACCACCTAATTATCTTCAAGTTAGTTTTGTTAGAATAAGGCCCTGGCATCAAGAGTGATCCCATCTAGGAAAAAAAATCTTACATTTTAATATTAATTACTTAAGAATGAATAACAAATAATCATAGCTACCATTTATTGAACAGTTACTATGTGCTAGACACTGTGTTAATGCTCTGCATACATCATTCCGTTCAATTCTCATGATGACTCCATGAGGTTCTATGATTATTTCCAAAAACATCTGTTCAGGGAAGTTAATTATTGTGTGTCAAGTCATATTTATAGTAAATACTGGCACCAGAAATGGATCCCAGGCTGTCTGACTCTGAAAATTACCTTAATCCTATTTGAACTTATAAATAACCCTATAGGTTAAGAACAAAGGGTATCTCCATTCCATGGAGTAGTGGCAGAAAACTGTAATGATTGGGGGGAGCAAATGTTAGTATTAGAAGGGTCAGAGTTTTCATTGTGGCCATATCATTAATTAGCTATATGAATTTGGGAAATTTATCTAAGTCCTTTAAGACTTAGAATATCCTCGACTGTCACATTTTAGAGAACTTTTCTTCTTTCAGGATCTCTCTGTCTTTGCCATCATCATCACCAACACATCTATCATGTATTGCTTTCTCGCCTTGTCTGAATTTGCCATGCTATTTCCTCGAGCCCTTGAATTAAGTACAATGTACTACTACTACTACTACTAGTAAACATTTATTTGCACGCTTACTACATGCCAAGGGCTATTAATGCATTATTTCATTTGCTCTTTACAACTACTGCATGAGATAAATACTAGTGTCATTTATAATTTATAGTTAGAAACAGAACTAAAGAGAACTCACAAAGAACTCAAAACACTGCTGATTTTACTTTCTTTTTTCTACCTACCATCCTGACTACCAGCTGGCTTGGGAACTCCAAGGCATCCATGAAAATGGCGTCCATGAAAATGGCTTAGAATTTTCTGCAGGAAACTTAACACTCCAGGAGTTTGACATTCCAAAGGTTTGGAACTATCCACCAACTGTTTGGTGTTCCTGAGAACCATGTGGTTGCTCAAGAAATTTCTGTTCCCTCTGTTCCAACTTCCTTTTCCACAAGGGAGTGCCATATACCTCCAAGTCCTGTTCAGGGAGAGAACTGGAAAAACAGTGAGACCAAGTGACTCACTTGAGAAGAACAAGCAGAGGGTAGTGCTAAGGAATCAGACTCTTTATTGTAAAGTCCAGCCACTTACTTTGCTTTTTAACAATCTTGAGTGACATTGAATAAAAGATACCATCAAGGACAAACATGTTTGGAGTAATTATAATCTCCCAGTACACAATATGATTTTCCCCATTTGTTATTATTTTTTTCTGATGGCAAATTTTAATAGGTTGTGTTGGAAAACCATAGTAAGTGCAACAAATAGCTAAGTTATTTTGTATGTTTCAGTCTTGATTTGGACTACATTTAAATGATTCTCTTCCTGTGTCTATACACCTTTGCCCCATCTTTAAAGACCCAGAGTCCAGGTAGGAGAGACCAAGAGCATCCCAGAGGGCAGCAGCACAAAACTCACTCCCCTCCAGCCCCTGTAGCTCATTTCACCCATCTCCCCTCCCCCTTAGTCTGGTGGCTCACCATTGGTCGTTGCCATGACAACCAGCAGCGGCCGGGACCGGCAGCCTCTACCGCAGCAGGGGTGGGGCTTTGGGGGAGGGGGCAGGAGAGGAGGAGCCAGAGGAGGTGTCTGCTGCAAGTTCCTGGCTGCTTCTGAGCTCACCCCATCCTCCGAGAGGGAGGAGGCAGGTGGTGATGCCGCTGCTCCCGCCGCCTCGACTGCTGATGCTCTAGTGAGGCTGGAAGGGTGGTTCCTGTTCGCACCATCGCCAACCAGAGAGCGAGGGAACAAAATCCCAGCAGCAGCTGCCGATGTTGGGTTCGGAGGCTGCATCCGACTCGGTCACAAGGAAAATGGATTCAGTTTGCATCTTTCCCTCCTTTCAGCAGCTTCTCCGGGTCTCAGCATGGTGAGTAGGAGACTGCGGGGGCTATCTTCTTGGTTTAGCTGCCGGTTAATGGACCTGAGTGTACATTTGTGGCCAGCACTTGAACAATGACTCCCTCGGAGTAGGGGAGGAAGATGTGGAGACAGAGATGGGGATGGAGAGAGAGGAAGGTTGCCAGGAAGAGAGAAGTAAGAAAGCATCCGCTGTGTTTAAAAAGGAAAAAATGGTGTTCTGATTTTATCTTGAACTGGCTCAGAATGCAGACTGAGCCACTTGGTTCCTTTCCTTCCAAGCTTAGCAGCAGAATCAGGGGGTGGAAAAAGAGCTAACAAGAAATGGGTGTTATTGAAAGGACTGGTTTAATTTGCAGCTCTCACATACAGGGTTGGGCCTTCCTCAGAAACCCATTTGAGTGCCTCTTAAGCTTCCTGGCCTAATTATGAGGTGATTTTGCTTATTTCCTTTATCGCTAAGAAAAGGTGGCCTCAGAATTTAGCATTCTATTTCATATTCTAATGTACTCTTGTTGAGAAACCATTTGCTGGATGGAGTTTGATTTTTAGTAGGTAGATGTGATTGTGAACATACAAATGTATATCCTATGGGTATGCATATCATATATACACATGTTTCTTAGCATAAGTAGTCATTATGAAATATATTTATATGCTTACTGTGCTCTGCAATCATATTTATGGGTTATAAATGCCCTTGCATGCTTGGAGGTAATTGCATATTTTTGAAACTGTGCTTCTGGTTTGTATTATTCATTGGCTTCATTTGGATTAATGTGAGATTTATTCTTGTTATTGTCCCTTAGTTTCATTGTGACCAATTAGGACAGATGCCTATCATTTAATCTGTATCGTAGTACTAGATGCAAATTCATAGCCTGCCTCTTTTCTTTATTTTTAATTGGTTTTGCCAGGGTGGGGGGGTGACTTGAGAGCCCTGAATTTACAATGATGGGAAAGGGAGGTGCCTTGAGGTGTTATTTTGTGTTCAGCATCTTGCCAAGTGAATGTTGAAACAAATCAGTTTTCTCGAAATTCTGCTCCATCCCTTTCATGTTTGTGCCTTGTGTCCCAGGAAGCACACATGAGCTGGAAGGTGAGATGCATTCATTTTATCTGATAGTGCTGCTTGCTATTTGGTCTTCATTCCTTCAGTATCCAGGCACCATTTTACAGTTCTCTCAAATGTTGTATTATGGGTCACTTCTTTAGGTGGTTAAGTAGGAAAGTGGGAATGTTTTGAAAATCTAGGTGTTCCCAAGTACCCTAGCTATTTCCAAATTAGCCTGCTTATACAATGAAATGAAACAAGAGAGTGAGCCCAAAATGGGGGGCTGTTGTAGTTTACAAATGCTTACTAGGATCTGCTTGACCTTTTATTATGTCAAGGCTTTAAGGCAGCTCAGGAGACTGAAGATGCCTAAGATGAGTAGGGTACAGGACTCCATTACTACCCAGGAGAATGGATTTAATTAAATTAAAGCCAGAAAAATCCTTGCAGGTAAAAGTGTATTTATTACATTCATCATATGGACTAGTTTTATCCATCGATCTCTTCTCAAACATATCATTGTCAGTGCAAACATTTTTTATAATGTAAAGTAACATTTTTTATCTTAATCTTGCGTTTTATTTTACACACTGCCCCTTCTTCATTTTAAATTTTTACATGTATTTGAATGAAGTTTATAGTTTTAATTTCTCAGAGAATAGATGTTCTATTTGGTTTATATATAGGAAGACTTAATGGGAAGAATGGATTTAATATGCTCACGGAATATTGTATATTATATAGATTGACAACTCTGTAAAGTCATGCCTAATTATAACTAAATAAAGTAGAGCAAGGAAAGAAGTACTGGGCTTATATGTCACATAAAATTTTTATGACACACTGCATCCTAAATCTTTTAATGATTACTTTTGACTTCCAAAAATTAAAATTTCAGATGTATCTATAATAAGCTTTAAAAAATAAAGACACATTTAGTTGACCCTGTTTCATGCAATGAATACAGCTATCTTGGGGCTTTGTTTTATTTCCTTTGTGTTGAGTTTTCATTGGGTTGTGCTTTTATAGGTGAAGTTGGTACAGTTTAGGCAGAGGCCAATGACTGTAGGCTGTCAGCACAGAACTATCAGTAGTAGCATGTTTTACCTATGTGGTCAGACCCGGATGGGAATCTTAGACCTAGTGTTGGATCCCACAGCTTAAGACAATTTTATGGCCTTTCCTAAGGGGCCACACAAAAGTGAAGTGTGTTTAAAGGACGACAAGTTGTATTCTCTAACAAAGGATAAGGAGACTAGAATTATTTCATTAGGAGAAGAGAAAATTAAGAGATGACAATCATTTGTTTCAGAAGAGCTGGGGGTTGTTTGGGACCTAAAATACAGTCAATGAGCTTCACCTTCATTAGGAAGAATGAGGACTACAGATACAGGATGTGGAACTTCCTGATAGCAAATTTGTGTTGTCAACTGGGCAACCAGATAAAGCAGTGCATTCTTCTTTCATCAAAACCTCTGAGAGTATGACCTAGACATGCATTTATTTGGGATGGAGTAGGCTAGATTCTTTCTCAAAAACTTCTCTGGCTTTTTCCAGCGTAAATTGCCCATTTTAGAGTGTGCTTTGGTTGTTTAATATCTGGTACTTCTAGATCTATAACAGTAAGGCTCTATTTTGCAATGGGCTTCTAAGTTACAGAATTTGGATATTTTTAAAGAATTTCATTGACCATCTGCTTGGAAAATATATGTTATCTTGTCACGATGTAGGGAACTGAACACTGGCCTCTTCATAAGAGTCCTTTTTCAGCAACTTTTGGAATGTGATGTTTAACAACCCTATTAAAATTATTCCCTTTTGTATGGCTAATTTTGAAAACTAAAATGGGGTTGAGTGGGGTCTAGATACAAAATAATTCAAGAGCCCGTGATGTCAGAAAGAACAAAGTATATGAAGGATACCTGTGAGTTGTTGTTTAAATGTATTGTTTAGCAATATTCTAATTTAATTAATTCCCGATTTCTCAAACACTGTCTTGGAAATGCCATTCTTATTGGAATATTAAATATTTTGACTGGCATTTAAACTTCAGTAAAACTTGTTTTAATTGAAGTAAAACATACATTATCTAATTCCTCACTTTGTGATAGGATGTTCCTTATTTCTTCAAGTGACCTCAGAACATATTTCAATTTCATGTACATGCTTCTACTCTCCATCAGGATGACTTAGAAAAGACAAAACCATGTTCTGCATTTCTCATAGGTTCATCAAAGGATTAGTTCTTTGTTTTCCATGATTGTAACCTAAAAGAAAACCGAATTTATCATGGAAGTTTCAACATAACTCAACATTCTGTTTTTTTCTGAAATAAATAAACCAGATTTATACTTGAGTGTTACTATGAGAGGTCAGTTATAATTCCTCCTGTTTTATATCCCAAGTATTACTCTATCAATTAAAAATGTATTTTTACACAAGAGCAATCAGTCATATAATCAAACTATTTGTAGAGCTCTTATATGACTAGAACAATTTGCATATCCTAGCAACATAGGATTTCCTTGGGGTATATAAGATATACAGATGTGAAAACAATACAGTTGTAATAAGTACCACCATTATGCCTTATTAATATAATCTTTTGTAGTTCTCAAAGTCATTTTACATTCTTTCTTTCTCATCCAATATTCCCCCAAATTCTGTCGTGCCAGGAAAACTGTGTCATCATAACTATTTTAAATAAGTGGAAACAGGCTCAGAGAAGTTAGACTTGTCCAAGTTTGGGTTTGGTAAATGGTCTAATTGGACCTGGATTCCAAATCCCATGAGCCCAAATCTGCCATGTTAGAACATTTAACACATTATCTTGCTAATTAGAATTTTAAAACATCAAATATAGTAAATCTGCATTAAATGTGACTCATTTTATTTGAATTTTTATTTGAATATGTCAGGTGTCATGATTTGCTCTTTGATCGTATTGAATTGCTAATAGACTAAATGTATGCTTAGGGTATCAACCTCTGCCCCCCACGCAAAAATGGTGCACACAAAAATTTCGGAGAAAAGTTGGGATTCTTGATATTTTGGAAAAGCACAGAAGCATTTGTCTGGGAAAAATCAGAACTTCGTTGGATTGAGGTGCCCTTATTTTACAGCTAAGTATTGTCTTTATTTTTTGTGACGTCCAGGTTAGGAGGTAACATAATTTTTTTCTGTGCTTAGGACCAAATTAAGATTCCTATAGATCCTGGACCTTGAAAAAAAAC